CAGGCTCTCGTCAAAATCATCAAAGTGAAGAAACTTGAATTTTTCCGCAGGTTTGTGAATTTGTATCAAAATTGTGTTTTTTGGCTCAACATCTTTCATGTCTATTAAAGAACTCATTTCTCTGTGGATTTTTCTGAAAAACGTTGATTAAAAGCACAAAAAATGTAAATTTTCAGTTACCACGGACTCTTAAGCTAAGGAAATAACTAATCTTTGGAGGCCATTTTCTTTCTAATTTTACCTCTAAAAACAGGTGACCCCCACCTCCTTCATTCACAAATATCTCGACTTTTATTCAAGATAAATGGATAGAACACGCTTCAAGATGACACCAATAACTCTACATGCCCAAAAATGGACGAGAGCCTGATTCCACCACGCTGCCTCACAACTGCTATTTTGCTTAGGAGCCACTGTTCTTTTTTGGTAGAGTACGAAACTTTTGGGCATCTCCTCTATTGCATTTTGGACCTGATTATCTTCCATTTCTTCCCAAATGTCACAGAGAGTTGCAAACAAAGGGTCTGAATGAGGAGCAAAGTCTCTTTTTTTCAGCTGCTGTTTCATGGAGCTTCCCTTAACTGAAGGATTTAAATAGGGGCTATTTACTGGTGACTACTTCAACGCTGATACTATTTGGCGAAATGTCTTAGTTGAAACAAATTTTAGTACATGTACTTTGGCGGATCGAAAGCAGGTTCAAGCGCTGCAAGATCACTGTTATATTTGAGTCTGCGCAAATGAACGCTGTTATAGCCAGGTTCATATTACTTACACTTATAGAGAAAAAACCCACAGGAATTTGATTTATCACCGTTATAATTATCCAAGTTCCTGTAATAACAGAGGCTGTTATAAATGGACTGGACTGGATTGGAGTATCCCTCTAAAATCTTTATTTGTTTGCCTGGTTTTTATACAGGCACTGTCATACTCACTTTTAAATGAACCGACTGCTTTTGAAGAAAATTCTCTTTGGCAACTCTAAGTAAGGGGTTTATCTGCAACCATCTCAACAAGTGGTTGCAGCAGAGGAAACTAGTTTTAATTTTGGATATCACCAGGGTTCCCCTCCTGTAGAAATCTTCATTTGATCATTTCCTCTTCCACTTGTTCCCCGCAGAAGTTTGCACTTATTGTTGGTTTGGTCTTATAATTTTTTTGTAGTTGTTTGTCGTTCGGTTTGAGAGCATGCATATAATAAAATGTGTTGTTTTTTGGTTGGGGGTTGTGTGTTCATGTGTGTTTTGGGTTTTTTTTCCAGGGGTGGG